TGAGGTCCCTCTGAACTCCCGTTTCATGGCAGTGAAGGCAGCAAACTTCTCTGATGAGGTTGCTCGTTCATATAGAGCAGCATCTCTTCCTTCATGTTGTTGGAGAGAGGCTGCTGTCAACAATTTGCATGGTTCTTTGTGGACAAAGCCAACTGGATCTACCCTGACATGGAATCCAGAGTTTATCTGATTGAATTATAAGGACATCCAACTCTACAATGACTCTGGATAGCATATGTCTAAAAACAATAGATGCAACCTCAGCAGTTGTTGGTCCTGTTATTTTGGATTCTTTTCAATGTGTAGATCTCAAGGATGAGAAGAGATGGTATAGAAAGATGTAAGCAACCACCTTTTTACTCAACTCTTGCTCATTCTGGTAATTAAATCACACTTAAGAAAAGTGACCAATGCTTTCTTATAGGAAGGATAACATTCTTCCCCACTCCTGGCTAAAAGAGACAGTAACAAGAACTTACCCAGGGTAGGAAGAAACCTACCCTTACAGTTATAAGCTAGTTTCAAATGTTCCCATCCTGGGAAAAATAATGTGGTGGCCTCACAGCTCCAGATGCCTGTGAATGGTGTGAACTGTCTGGATTAATTTCAACTGGGCTTTGGTCAGAATATGCTACTGAAACTGCTTTGGTTTCTTAAGTGGGTGATCTGTGCTAAGAACTGGATGTGCTGCTCCTATACCTCTCAGCAGCTTTTGACAGTATTGATATATATGGTATATTATGTCATGGAGGAAGCTTGAGCAACACATTTATGGAAGCAGAACAGAGCCGAGAGCTCACTTAATTTAATCCCGAATTTGGGGTTTTACTTTCACAGGTAATGTGGAAAGAAGAATACAAAACCCATTATTCAGTCAGGAAAAGAGCTGATCTCTAGAACCTGCTCATTCTCTGGATCTACAAGGTCAATTGTCTAAAGAAAAACAATGAAATATTGACCTCTAACAGAGATGAGCCAGTTGGACTCCAAAATTAAAAATGTTTCTTTTCAAAAGCAGCTTTGGATTTTGGCCAGTGAGTTAAAGAGATGAATGTAAACCATGAGGGAGGTCATGAAGCAAATACCTGGTTTTTTAAATACCTGGCTTTTTAAACAAAAACATTTGGTTTACATAGCATTTCAGCGGTTGTTGGCTAAAACTGCTGGGCCCTTTTCATCTATAATTAGCAGCTTCTTGTACTCTTCTAGGCTTCTTGTACTCTTCTAGGCCTTGTGCAGAACTGTCCCTCTTGATGGTCATTGTTCCAAAGAACATCACTGTGTCATGGTACTAGATTTCTCAGGACGTCGACCTTGCAAGTCGTATCAGTTGAATGTACTAAACTTGAGGGACTGGCTCTTTATAAGGAAAATGCATAGTGGATTCATACAATAATGGCTGGTTACAAAATGTAACCAAGTTCCAGACTTGCACAATATACTGCACCATAAATCGATCAACCAGGTTAGGTTCACCCATCATCCTAAGCCATAAAAAATTTTTTAATCAAGAGTAACATCAACCAAGGTTAAGTGTATTTTACAAATGTAGTTGCCAAGTCTTTAGCTGACTTGATTCAGCATATTATGTGAACTCACCCCATGTATTCTACGCAAATGTGCAAACAGTGCAAACTGTGTTTAGTCCTGGCCCAAGCAACTCCTGAATTGGGCATTTATCCAGAATTTCACACCAACACATTCACCCAGCCACCTCATTTCCCTGGTGTGTAAAAACCTGCCTTTCCCAACTGGTTTAGAGGACAAAAACTGGGATGATCAGTGTTCTAAAAACCAAGCTCTATGAGGAACGGTTAGAGGAGCTACCAATGTTTGGTTTGCAAAATAGAAGACTAAAGGGAGATGCAAGAGCACCTTTACCTATGGAAAGAGTCCCCCATTCTCTGCTGAAAATGATAGGACAAGTATTAATGGAGCTAAATAAAAAGCTAGGAAATTCAGGTTGGGAATTAGAAGAAATTTCTTGACAGTAAGCACTCTTAAGCAGTGAAACAGACTGTCTGGAGCTCTGGTGGACTCTCCTGGCTGGAAGTTTTCAAGCAGTGAGCAGAGACTTGGAAAGGATGACCTTCCAATTCCCTCATTCTATGATGGGCACCAGGTTGGGAAAGACGGCCAATCAACAGTGAAAGGAAGATGCTGTGACACAGATAGATTACATTACCTGTATGCACTAAGGAAGGAAAATGCCTCACCTCTTCCTTATTCAATGCTAGAGCTATGGGGAGAAATAGAAACATTCTGAGGGGAAAAATCAACTGCATTTTTATAACTTTGTCCTGAAAAAACTGGAAAATTGGGGAAAAATAGATAAAATATTTCCTCAATATTTTCTGTTAAATGTTCCATGAAATGGTTAAGAAAAGTGTTCACATGATGCAGTTTGTACTCCCCAGCAGCTTTTACTCCCCACAAAGTTATGGGACAGGAAAAAACATATTACATAAAACAATCTACTGTCATTATAAAATTCTCGAGGATTAGCTTGTACAGTGTAACTCTCAGAGCCAAGGACAGGCAAACATTTCTTTCTCCAGAGTAGAGTGACTTTTTTTTTCAAGTTCTTTTTTATAGATTTGCCTCATTTTCTTGACTGGATCTAGAGGTCGTCCCTGCTCTTTATTAGACCTTTAAAACACTGAGAATGGAATAAACAATGGAAATAGTATCCATTTATTTATATCTGCTGGGAGGGAAAGCTAAAACAACTGTCTACATTTCATTATTCCCCAAAGGTACTGACCCCCATTTACCCCAACCCCAGAAAACTCTCTTTTCCCCATTAATTCAAACGTTCTGGGAAAAAATTACATCTCTATTCAGCGCAACACAAAAACATATTTGCCATCCACCCTGTAGCCATACAGGCCTTCCTTCCTCTGTTCTTCTGCTTTGTGTGCAAAATGAAGCAACTTATTCTCTTTTTCATCCAACAGTTTCAATCTGAAAGGATGGGTGAGAAAACAACAGACACAGACCTAGAGAGGCCAGCAGGCAAAAATTCATCCGACTTAAAATCAAAATTTATTTAAAGGGGTGGGGAAATTTGACTTTACAAGAGTTTTCATAGCAAGAAAGGTAGATAAATAAAAGAGATTATGAAAATCTGTTTTTTTTTCCTTTTTTGCAAATTATAGGGTGGGGAATTAAAAATTTACAATCAGTAAGCCTAACTTAATTTTTTACATAATTACAAATGAATATATAACATTTTTTTCTTTTTGACTCTCTCCATTGATGTACATTTTTATTTTTTAAAGTTTTTTTTTTCCTTTCAAAGATATATTTCAATCGGAAACACGCAACTGGTACCTTTGCACAAGCCTATGGGAAGAAGTGGGGAGGAACCCAAGTGAGAGATATTCATTGTCATATAATTTGTGAGGCTAGTGCACACAGTCTTTGCCAAAAAGAACTTATCACAATAATCAACCACAATCCAGCTGAACAGGAAAATAACTAGATTTAAAGAACTTGTAATACCCACAGATTTCCTTGAAATACATAAATCCATCTCTATCTGTAATCATGTTATACATGGCCTCTCTGTGAAGAGAAGGAAGAATGGCAGCAGAGATTTTGGCTAAGAAGTTTCCTACCAACTGGTATCTCTTTTTGCTCCCTGTCTTGCATCTTTCTGCACTCATGCTATGAGTTGCAGACATGAATAATACAGGATTAAACTATATTAAACTCTTTTTAAAACTTAAGATATACAGTAATGCTATTGCAGAAAGAAGGAGACTTGCCAGCTCAAAAGCACTTGGTGCAGGAGAGATGGTACATGGTGATTATGATGGAGACAACCATTTTGGAGAAAAAGGAAAGTGGTATTTCAAAACCTGCCATTCCTATTTAGCACCAGTGAAAGTGGAATAAACATACACACCATGTGAACCAACTCCAGTTTCAACCCATCTTCAGTTTTCTGCAAAAAGCTTGCCCCAGTCTTATCATCTTAAGTTTGCTTTGGCCAAGAAATGCTGAATGTCAGATCGTTTCCTAACAGTGGTTGATAGCATTTAATGCTGGTTTTATTCAAATAGCACATCAGTAATCAATTATATATTTACACAAGAAATAGAAGCAACAACAAAAAGAAGCACAGACACACACAAACACACACACACACACACAGACGCTCTTTAGGCTTCATAAGCCCAGCTTAAAAATAAAGTAAAACAGACAATCCAAGTAAACGTTTCTCATTTTAAAAATCCAGACTTCTTTCAAACAAACAGAAAGATTTTTTTTTTCCAACGCAAGCCCAGCTTGCAAACTGAGAACAAACTTCACATAACAATTGTGGCAATAAAAATAAAAATAAGAAATAAAATTCTCTAGCTGCCTCTGGCTTTGTTTTTCGGACAGCGCGAATTTGTTTTAGAGGGCATGAGATACAGCCAGGTCCTCAGAGATCCTCCACCTCTGTAAAGACAGGCTCATTAAAGAGCTGTTTTTGTGCTGGTCCTGCAAATTAGATTGTGTGAAAATGGCTCCTGAGGTGCTCTGAAGAGAGAATACAAAGGTGGAACAATAGTGCAAAACCTTTGAAGGAGTGGGGTAGACAAAAATGGTTTTTCAAGCTTTGAAGGTAAACACATTGTGTGCCATTTGCTCAGCCTACTGGAATAATCAATGGGATGACAGTGAGAGGTGAGAGAGGGTTGTGACGACTTGCAAAACAAGGATGTTCTTTCGTACTCATCCCGTATCGCCAAAATGCTTATTGGTCCTTCCAATCTCTCCTTTCTCACCATGCCAGATTTCTTGCTCCCACTGCAATGAGGAATAGGGTTTGACACTGACACCAATATGAGGGGAGAAGGGAGGGAGATTAAATTTGGATCCTGGGGCTGGATATAGTTCCCTATAAACTATGATGGGCCAGATGACCCTAGAACAGTGATTTTCAACCTTGGCAGCTTGAGGATGCGTGGACTTCAACACCTAGAATTCCCCAACCAGCCATGTTGGCTGGGGAATTCTGGGAGTTGAAGTCCACACATCGTCAAGTTGCCAAGGTTGAGAAACACTGCCCTAGAGGGTTAGGCTTGGAGGAAAAAAAGGCCTGACAACTACTTCCTCACTTGCATCTACTGTTTGCATGCAAGAGCAAGGGAAAAGCTCAACCTACCCTCGCTCACCTCTCCCTGGAGCAAAGCATATCCACGCTTCTCTAAACAGAATTGAGTGGAGAGCAGGCCTAGGAGGCAGGCGTTCCCCTCTCTTGCCATAGGAGATTAGGAGACAATGTCATCCATTTGCAGGTGGAAAACAGAAGCAAACCGCTTTCCTAATTCCATGCAAAGGGGACCAAATTCAGACGACTTATTTTCTGAAACTGAATGATCACTATCCACACACATACAAAGCAAATATACCCTTTCGTGTTGACCGCAGATGAAGGCCTTATTGCACTTGGGTAAATCAGGACGACGCCGTATTAAAGAAGCGATTGGAAGGAGTATGTATATAGGAAATCGTTTTGGGGTGTCTGTACATTTACATACATTTTTCACCTCCTGGCAATTCCACCTCAGAAATGATGGGGGGTTCTCACACAAAACGGTGATAGCATCGAGATCGGGACTCTACAATTTTTAAAGCAACAAATCTATCCTATTTGGAAAGTTATGTTAAGGGATGTGGTGGATTGTTTAGTCCATGTAAAGGAAAGGAAATTCTACCTAACCAACATAGTTGTACTTCTCTACCACAGCTCTTTCACCCAAATGACAGCCACCCACTTCCTCAACATAGTTCCTAGCAAGAAGATACAACGAAATTGGGAGAAAATGGGAAGCTTGGGAAGAGAAGCCAAGGAAGCAGGAGCAGAGAATTTGACCTGTGTTTGTATATTCTTCAGACTCTTTGAGGGCAAAACCCACTCAATAGTAGCCTCATCCCAGTGGAAACAATGTGTTTCTTCATGAGAAGGAAGAGAAATCCCATGGCAGGGAATCAGGATGTACCTTGCAGTGCAGTGGGAATTAAGAGTGCTTGTGATTTAAGCTTTCCCTCTGTAGCTCTTCTGAGATGACTTCTAGAGCATACCTTCTGATTTCCCGCAATGGCCCTTTTCACCTCTCCAACCTAGGACCCCGCATTGCTTCCAATCCATTTTGTATTTTTCTGCCTTTTGGCAACATGCCAGCCAAGGGCTTCCCCCATTCCCCCAATGTGCCTGCACAGGAATCTTGCCTTAGGGGCCCTTCCACCTACAAAATGATCCCTGTGGTCGGTGCAGAATGCCAACTTCGTAGCAGGTGGCAAAAATTCACGGACCCAGCCCAAACTAAGAGATACTGTATAACAGTGACCCAATCCCTGAACAGTTTTACTCAGGTATCTACCAACCCCTTTAGGATACAACTGAGGTTCCCTAGCTTTTCTGTACAGACATAGAGCATATCCAAAGGATATGGAGCCACATTTATTTGTGTGTGTATATGTATATATTTACGTAAGTATGTATAGAAGTGTGTATACATTATATCTATATTGACCAGTGTAGAAACACTGCTTAAAGAGTCCCATCTTTTTTCTGTAGAGGGTTTTTGACTTCGGGTGGTGGTTCCCTAAGAGAAGGTTAGCTACTGTATGTTGCCCTTGTTCATAAGTTCCCTGTTTTTCAAGATGAAAAGGAAAGAAGGGAATGTCTGCCTGGGCAAGTCACTAACTAGCATTGCACAGAGAAACAGTGCTGTTCAGAGCACATTCAACCCAAACTGAGCCTGCCCAGTCTGGCTGCATCCACAGTTCTTCCATGTGGTTTTTCCTCCTCCTATTGCCCTTCTGGACATATTTTCAGATGTAACATATTCAAGAAGATCCAGCAGTGGGAATGGACAGTGGATTGTAGGTGTGAAAGGTGGGTTTTCACTGGAAGAAAGCCCAGCACAGTTCAATGTCTAGGATGAAGAATTGTTCGATTCCTTGGCCCCTCACTGCAGGGCAGATCTGGAGATGGCCTGGCTGGAGACAAGAAATGGGATCAGCAAAAGATCTCCTCGCTTTCTGGTGCTGCTTCTGGAGAGTGAGCATCTAGGGAAAAAAGAAATCAAAACAGTGTTAACACACAACAGAGAGAGACTGCTATTTTTCCTGGCTTCCTTATCCAACACTGTAAAGTTTAGCAACTAACTGCATCCTACCAGAAGCCCAGCCAGAGCGTAAGAGTTCCATGTGTCTGTGGCTTGGGAACAAAGGTGCAGAGCTTAGCATCTTGTAGATAAAGACCAGGCAGATTGATAAATAGAGGACATGGAATAAAACCTTAATTATCTATCTACATGCCACTGCCCTTGTCATGGTAGGCTGTGAAGTGATGAAGAGCCTGTACAGCTGAAATAATACTTCCAAGATATCATCCTATGCAAATCCCTCGCAGCTGTCCATCCAAGGTCAAGCAGTTAAATGTTTTTGCATAAGTATTTACTTATTTATTATACTACAAATTTGTCACCGCCCAGCTCACTGCAGTGCCATAATCAGTAGTCCTTCCTTCTGTCCTTCTTTTCGATAGCAGGGAAAATGCAAATTCATGAGCAAAAGGTACACCTAAACATATCAGCGCTCCATATTAGAACTAAAGATCCTTTTCCCTTTTAAATTGCTGCCTCTATTAGCCCACCGGCATCAGCACTCAAAGAATAAATTCAAAGGGAAAGCAAACATGGAATGCTGTCATCTCTACTACGGTAAAATTTTATTCCTTCCAACTTGCAAGTTCAATATAATAACTGTAGTTCAGAGAAGGGTAAAAACCTTTATTTGCCTGGACTATTTTGAGTAGGAGTTAGGCTAATCTTCCTCTATCTGGTATCGTCATATCCTGAACATCCATTCCACTTTTCCCAAATTCCACGTATTAATCCTGGAATTGGAATATGCTCAATTGCAGATAATCTACTTATTTACATATTTCCCACCTCTTTTTTTTAATGTTGCATCTGTATGAATTGATGCCTGCCCCTGCCCCAAAAGACTTTGATTTCACTGGAATCACAAGACATAAAACTTGCTGGCCTTAGAGTGCACTTCTGTGCATAAACAGAACAATCCACAAAGACAGCAAGTTCCAGTTGTATATGCCATCACAGCAAAATGGCCTTTTTGAGGTGTTTTTATCCATGTGGGAGCCCCGTCTCAAATATTTCTTCACTGCAACAAAGCTAAGTACCATCTAATTGATGGGGGACTTGAACCTTTATCTCCCCAGTCCTAGTCCAACCACTTCAGCTTCACAACTATACTGTCCCTCTTGATGCTGAGGGAGGCACCAAGCTTATTCTTTCCAGGCCTCCCTACTGATCTTGCCTGCTGTCTCTACTGATCTGTAGCCAAGACTCAGATCTGGACCACCAGCAAGCAATTTGGTAGAAGGAGATCTGCCATACAGCTTTCCATCCTTGGTTCTCCACTTCAGAGAAGAACCTTTAGGAATATCAAGCCGGCCCTCTGCTTACCAGATGGCTGTGAACGATGCCCTTTGCTCTTCTTCTTCTTCTCCTTCTTCTCCTTTGGCTTGGCTAAGCCAAAGAGGCGGTTGGGCATCTGCCCGTGTCCCTCGGCTGGCTTGTTGGTTTGGCCTGATGTTGTAGTGCCAATCAAATGAAAGGAGGTCTTCTCTTTATGTGTCCTTGAGAGACTGTTCCTTTTGGGTGATGCAGAAAGTTCTGTATCCAAGTGCCCCTGTTTGGGCAGTGAAGAACACAATTGCCTAGAAGACAAGTCCTCTGTTGGAAGAAGGGAAGGGGTTCTACTCATTTTGGTATGTTGGTTGGGATGCTGGAAGACACAAGACAAAACAAGCAATAGGTAAGGTAGCGGACTGTTTATGTTTGTATTTATTACTTTTTTAAATTTCTCCAACAACCTCAGTTCCCTGGGCACTGTAAAGCATGTTAAAAATGCAATGTAAAATAAATAAAAATAAAACAATAAAAGCAGCAGTAAGCAATAGCAACAATAGATAAAACACTACAAGCAAGCCAAACCAATGCTGAATAAATCTAAACCAGTTTCCTAACATACTAGGAAAATAAAGTGGTTGTATCAGAGTGCCACCATTGAAAAGACCCTATCTCTTGCAGATGTGCACTTTATCTTAGCAGTAATGGTTCTGGCACTATCAGTACCATATACATGAGCACACCACAACATGGATAAGACCAGGTTAGACAAAAATTGTGCTTCCAGAATCAAATACAGGTGGCCTCGGAATTCATATCTGGGACTGTGCATTGCACAAGAAAACCAATGCAGTTGTAGAAGAAAAGCATTACTAATCTTTTGAAGAAGACACCCTGATAGGTTTCTACAGAAGTGTCCATAGAACATCATTTGAAAACCACTGATCTAGAACCTCTGCATCTTCAAATGCTCCACCAGCCTCCTTCCTTTGATGCCAGAAAATTTACAGGTACAAAGGAGCAATTACCAATCTGAGGTTGGACTCCATCTGTGGCTGGGATATTTGCTCCATTTCCCTCTTCAACTGCTCCTTTTCTTTCTCCAGTTGCTTCTGGGCTGTCCGGAGATGTTCCAGATCGAGCTGGTAGGTTGCTTTCTTCTGCTGCAGCTCCTCCCGCTCCTTCTCCAGGCTGTGATGCCCTTTCTGGATCTGCTCTTCCCTCTGGGCCAGCTGAGCTTCCCGCTCAGTTAGCTCTTTCTCTCGGGCCTCCCAATCCTTCTCTTTCTTCCTCCTTTCCTCCTGGTGCAAGGCCTGTTGCTTCTGCAGGTTGGCAAGCTCTTGCCGCTGTTTTTCCAGGCTGCGTTGCTTTTCCTGCTCAATCAAGGAGTTGGGCCGGAATGAACTGCGGCTCAAAGTCCTCTCTGTTAGCAGCAACTTCTGGTCTTCAATGTAGGTGTCTTGTTGTACAACAACAGCCTGTACAAAAAAGGGGAGAAGGCTTTCTACTAGGCAGAGCAATTTGCTTCAAAGGTCCTATGTACACTCCCTTGCAGCACAAAATCGAAATTCCTGCTGAGAACCTATGAGAGTCAATCACCATAAGGCAGGGGTTGGCCTTAGAGGGTATCTGCAGATTGCCCAATTAAATAAAAAGAAAAAAAAAGAAACATCTTGCCAAACTCAGATGTACTGCAGACCATTTCAAACCACCCAAACTAATGGGACTGTTTCAGGATGACAGTTTCCTCCACTTGGGGCCTATGTCTTTGACTACTCACCCTGTGGGAGGCTGCATGAAATACAAGAAGGTGTCTCAGCTATCTTTCTTCCTTACAAAATTAAGACCTTCCTCCCTCTGCAGAAGCTCCTGTATTTCACTGACCCTGCCCAGAATAAGGGCTCTTCCCATGACTTCGTCAGGGCCCTTATGCTTGGGAGTATTGTTAAACAAGGCCTGCAGAATTCCTGAGGGGTCCTGAGGTCAGTGATAACTGACCACTGCTTGTCTGGGCTGTTAATTTTAAGTTTCCTATACCATGATGAGATTGGTAAGTCCTCTAAAGACCTTTTGTCTAACCTGGGCTAAAAAGGGCTGATGCATCCAGATATGTGAACCATAAATAAGCATCTCATTCTTTCCATTCCTTTAGACTGGAGGCTAAGGACTACCCTTAGCCTTTGAGTAGCATGGGAGGGACCCCATTCCACAAACAGCATATGTTTAATTCAAGTTCAATTAATTACAGTTAATCTGACTTCTCCCCTTGTCTTTCATGAGTTTCTTGTCTGGCTTATCCAAAATTACAATTTGGCAAAACTTTCTCAGAGCTCAAAGGTTCTGGAGGACATATCCAGCCCTGAAGCTTCTGGTTGGAGGCTCCTGCTTTAGATGTTGTATCTCCTGCTGCTAAGTGTCTTATTTTGCTGAAGTATTAGACTAGATAGGCTTTCATTTATCAGATAAGCAGAGAGGTGTTCCCCGTCTCTTTCCCAGCACTTACCTGCAATAAGCTCAGCAAGCTGTGAAGCTGAGTTAAACTCTGGAGGACCTGCTACAGAAGAAAAAGAGAAACAGAGAGAAAGACACTGTCAACAGCTAATTAATGTATTTGGTCTACTGGACTCCTGCCTTTTTAGGAACTCAGAAACAAGAACTTGGCCAACAGCAGGCAGATGAGCTGTGCTGATGGAACACAAGTCCCTGAGGATTCTCCACCTTCATTCCCACGTGACACTGACTACCTGAGAATAGCCACCCACCCACAAATATCCCCAGAGAACAAAATTCTGTGTACCTCACACTCAGGAAAACGTACCCTGAAAATTATACACCAGGAAAAGTGCAACTTTGCAATCTGCTGCTGCAAATCTACACCTCTTACTTTGCATAACTTGGTCTTTCAAGGCACAACATTGATTTTAGGTTTACTTACGGCATTTGGAAAAGCACAAAGTTACATAAAAACATAATATTTCAAAGTAAGTTTGTTTTATCTAATCTAGTTCTTTTGTGACTATATACACTTTAACAGTTCAGAATTCACTAATATGACTTGTAGCCGTTTCATAACACTTACCTATTGCTTTGAATGTATACAGGTTAATACTATAATGTGTCACGGACCTTTTCATTTAGAGGCTTATTTTACATTATGTTATTTTAATTATATCTAGATCTATTATGTATATATTATTTTTTGTACCTTTCCATATATATGTAACCTATTTCATATTACTGAGTTTGATTACATACTGATCTTTGACTGCAATAAAGATTTTCACTCACGATATTATTTTAGGATTTTTTTTATTCTATATCTGTAGTTATGAGCACATAATAAATAAAACTACTACCACCACTAATAAAACGAAGTGATTTTTCATCAGCCACTGAGAAATACCACTTTCCACCGGCCTTGCAAGATTGCACTGAACTTTCAGGGACAATTCCCATGTATCTTCACAAATTCAAAGACTGGGAATTTCATAAATCTTCAGAAGTTCACTTGTGTATCCAATTCAATGTGGCATGGGTTTTCTCTTCTCCCACCCAATGACAGCAAGGACAACCTGCACGTTCTCCAACTGTCCCCTAACTGGTGCTCTCTAGATGGGAGTACAACATCCATTATGCTGGGTCTGTGGTCCAACCAACCGGAGGATACCCAGATGGAGAAGGCTTAACCCAAAGCCTGTGAAGATGTGGCAGATGCATTAACCAAAGCCACCCTAATAATTAACAGAGCAAGAAAACAACCAGATCCCAGATCGGAAAATAAAAAAATTTAGAGGAGGAGGTATTTCACTGGGCACGAGAAGGGGCTGATCTCATGTTCTAGATGCTTTGTAAACAAAAGAAAAAGGCCATCTTTGAACAGAAACACTTACCTCATTGTTTCTTTTCAGTACAAACATCAAGTTAGCTGTTCCTCCCTAAGAAGAGACCATACATACTCTTAATGAGAAAGACACTAAGGACAGAGAGCCAGGATCCAAATAAATCATATACAACAACCCGTTTTTGAAAGCTTGGGCTTCACCTCCCAGCGTTCTTGACCATTTTCTGAGGATACTCAATCAATTTATATTTATGGTCATAGACCAAAATTCTGTATAAAACACCAAACAACAAAACATATAATAACCAAAATATAAAAGAGAGAAATGTGTAGCTAATTGCCTTCTAATATGAAAATAATCTACCAGAACTTAAGTTTTCTTACAGCAATCGTGATTTAACTGTATTTTGTTACCTTTTTTGAGGTTTCTAAGGTTTTATCAGTTAACAGGAAAAATGTACTCTCTTTCATAGAACAGCTGGAGTGATTTACAAGGAAGGGTGATACTAATTAAGGGTGTCATGAATGGTTCAATAGACAGCTCAGCAGAACGTGTGGTGTTGGTTCAATGGCATCCTCTGTGCGGGGACAGATTCAGTGCAAGAAGGACCACACTGTTCAGGTCACTGCTCTTGCCATTGCCTTCAGGCTCTTGCCTCTCACCCCCAACTTCGCAATCAAACATACAGATGCAGTGCAATGCATTCTGCAAAATGTAAAGCAGCATTGGTAAGCTCTGATTTGCAGGAACGAATGCTGCTAGCTGGGAAGGCAATGCGTTATTGGGAAGGATTGCCAAATCACTGGTAGATGTGGAAAGGCAGGTGATCACTGTAACCAAACACGGTGGGCGGATAAGTCCCAGGAACTGTTGGGTGTGGGTTTCCCAGCACAACAGATGCTATTTTACATGGCTGCATCTTTTTCCAAGGGTGTATACGTTCCCTACTAGCTGAAACTCTACAAGATGGAAGATGCTGGAGGCTGAATATGGAAAGCTGTTGACAATCTGTTGTTCCATACCTTCTTCAACACACTGTCAGACTCTGTCCTCCGAAGATCCTGTACTTCTTCTCCTTCATCCTTCTCCCCACCTAAAGAGAAAAAAAAATATCAGATTTCTTGTATAAGCAAGAGACTGGGGATGGGGGACCCATATCATACTAAACCATAAACCATAGTTTGTACACAATGGCTGGGTGCAGACATCATGCTAAGCCAAAATAAATAAAACCTACGATGTTCAAAGTGTGAATCTTGGGAGTGACTGTAATTATGGTAGAAGCAGAGCTGTGAGGAAGCCCTCTTTCCCTCTTCAGGAATCTTAAGTTATTGCAAACTAAAAGGGCAAAGCTAGAGCCTGGGGTGGAGGTAGAAAAGACTCACCTTTATACACATTCATCTGGTGGCTGTCAAACCCTCCAAAGGTCTCTGCCCTCCTGGGGAGAGAGATGGGCCCCACGCCCTCCTGCTCTGAGACCAGACTGCTCATCTGCTGCCCAAGAGCACTTCCGAGGCTCCGGCTCACCAAACCTTGCAATTGCTCAACTGAAAGAAGAAACAGCACCATCAGAAGACCATCCATGTTAATGTGCTGCAACTTGCTTGCTTGCTTGCTTGCTTGCTTGCTTGCTTGCTTGCTTGCTTGCTTATTTATTTATTTATTTATTTATTTATTTATTTATTTAAAAGGAATTATATAACTGCTCCTATTGTAACAACAACCCTGAGCGGTGCACAAAACAGGAAAACAAACTAACTCCCGCAAACAATCAGAATCATGACTGGTGTGGGTCTTCCGGGCTGTGTGGCCGTGTTCTGGAAG